ATCGAGAAAGGCTAAACGGAGATATTCGAAGTCTCAAAACACAAAAACGAAGGCTAAACTGAAAATGACCTATCGGATCATCACACTTCTATGATTATTTTTCATATTGTTGTTAATTAAAAATGAAAAATGTAGATCACGTTTTGTATGATCAATTTGGCTACGAAATTCAATGTAAAGTATAGACTATTTTGAAACCTAATTATGTCAACCTCCACCCCCCACCCCCCCTTCCACACACACTAAAAGACAGAATTTTACTTTAAATTTTGTCTTCAATTAGGCCGAAGAGCACTAGTATAGCCCTTTGTTGTACCATGAGAAAATGACTAATTGTCATTCACAATTATCTCAATAATTTTTATAACTACTCCGAACCAATATTTAATATTATTATCAATCTTTTATACCCAAAAAAAAAAATCATCTAAATACGATCCGATTTTGCTCACAATATCATCGATGTTTAAGAAATGTTCTCCAAAAAAGCAATTTCCATTCTCTAAAAAATACCAAAAAATATTTTCCAAAAAGCAAATCATTTGTCGAAAATTATTTTCCAAAAAAGCACTAGTATAGCCCCTTTGTCGTACCAAACAAATTAAATAATTTAATTTAATACATAGCTAAACCATCTTTACCTACATTTCTACTGATCATACAAGTAAAAAACTATCACTATTCGGCTACTTTTAATGTAAAAAAGAAAAGAAAAGAAAAGAAAAGGAAAGGAAAAGAACTACGTAGTTTCTTTAGGATGTCAAATTGTCTAAAGCACGTGGATTTGACTTTAATCTGGTAAAGGAACGTCCTTGTAAGAAAAATAAATAAATAAATAAATAAATAAATAGAGTTAAGTTCTTAATTATAGGCTTGCAATACACGGCACTCAGTTGAAGTCTTTGTCGAGATTATTTTTTTTTGGATTATTTAAATTAATAAAAAAACATAATCTTGATATTAAATATTTTTATTTATAATTATCAGATGTTAGGTTACGCATCTATTGTTTCTCTTTAAACGCATAATATTATATTAGTTTGTTGTAATTCTTTTTTAAATCCAACGATGTGGATTACATTATATTTGTCAACAATATTTGGTTAAGATCATGCAGAAGAAAGAAATAACGTTACTATTACTTGTTTTTAAAAGCATTTCTTACTCATTATCTCTCATTTATTCTAATAAAATATTTGTAACGTATTTGAAATATAGGAAAGTGTATTAAAGAAGCTGTCCACTTTACAAAGAGAATATGTATATTTATTATTGATAAATACATTTATTTTAATACAACATACCCCATTATATTCTAGCTTAGCTTTCTTTAAACTGGCATTTTTCTTAAAGTTAGGGACAATAAAGAACTATATGATAAAATATGAAATTTCAATCCAAAATCTTAAGGCAATGCGCGGAATGGTTGAAGACATTATAAACCCCTTTTGGAAATCTTCACACCACCAAATGTATAGTCAAACACATACATTATATTATCATGCCCAGATATATAAAGTATATATATTACAATTTTTACTTTTGAGCTGTAGACAATTTAATGTATTTTCCACAAATATCAATTTTTTTCCATTTGTAAGTCTAATTTTTACTTCTTACTTTTTAAAAAAAAACTCGAGCCAAGGGTCTATCGGAAACAACCTCTCTATTCCATCGGGGTAGGGGTAATGTCTGCGTACATAGAGTTTGGAAAAAAAAAAAAGTAGTAATAAGGTTATACTAGTTATCAAATACTTAGTTTATTTACTAAACAAAGATGAAAAATATAACTGAGGAAAAAGTGAAACAAGTACTATAATATAAGAAAGGGGGTCGTGTAATGTGTTGTCAACTGAATTTATTCATTTAAGACTGAATAATTTATGACCAATATAATTTATTGTGATATACTTATAAATTTTTTTTTAGAGCCAACAGCAATATTCTCGGAAAGTATTTATTTCAAATTTATTATTTAGTGTGCTTTGTTGGATTTTATCATAAGTGGGCAATTATTAATCCAGCATCAATGTGCTTTGTTATCTACTTTGAAAAATATTGACTATCCCCACCACCTTTTTGAGTTGGATGTATTATTTCAACAATTGCTGCAGTTGCAAACACTGTTCTCAACTCAAGCTCTATATAAAATACTTAAAATCGATAAAATATAAAATTATAAACGGCAAATGGCCAAATATATCCTTGTACTATGAAAAAAGGTTTAAATATACTATTCGTTATATTTTGGGTCCAAATCTATCCCATGCCGTAATACTATTGGTTCAAATATACCCTCTTCTATTAAGCATGTCCAAGGTGGACATCCAATCCGATATGACACTGATATTTGATGAGGTGGATGCCACATGGCATGTAGGCTGTGCACGGATCGGATCGGATTTAGCATATTTCGGATTCGGAAAAGGGCAATCCGAATCCGATCCGAATTAACATTGAATCGGATCGGATTTTAAACTTTGGATCGGATAATTTTTGGGATTGTCGGATCGGATTGTCTGGAGTACTTGTTCGAAGTACATAAATAGATGCTGGCAATCATTCCTTGACAGACTTACTTTGTATTATGAACTCTTTTTATCCGTATATCTTGAATCAAATGTCAATTTTACCAAACAAACCAAGTAGCTTCCTTGTCTAACTTTAAGCTATTTGACCTACAATTTTACCCATAGCCTGCAATTTTTCATTTTTCAAACACAGGGAAGGGTGTAGTTATTCAACATAAGATTCTAAGTTACTGGAGTATGTCAACTTTTTTCTGAGTTGAGTTCATGCTTTTCAGGTCAACTTCAACCCTGTCACTATCAACTCGATCAAGAGAACACTTACAACTATATGCAGAAAGGAGCAGCGTGAAGTTAGTGCTGATACGATTGAGCTACTAGCAAAATCAAGTGGAGGTGACATGAGACATAGAAGGCCTATTCTACCTTTAAAAGAAAGACCGGACAATAGCTGGATGATGTGTTTTCTTTGCCATTTGGAAAAGATGAAGACTTCGAGTCTCGAGAAGACTGAGGTAGTGAGCTCTGAAGAGAGGCGGAAGAGAGAGACTATAGAGGACTGAAGATCGATATAACCTAGGGTCAGTCTGATAAAATGAATATAAGGTTACTTAACCCTAAAATTTTAGGGTAGTATTTATATATGGGCCATATAATTTCGGATTTCGGATCGGATCGGATTAAAATCATGCCAATCCGAATCCAATCCGAAAATCCGAAATTTTATAAAACATAATCCGTATCCAATCCGAAAATCCGAAATCCGAAATCCGAAATAGAGTGGATCGGATCGGATTTCGGATATCCGATCCAAATGCACAGCCCTAATGGCATGCCACCTCAGCGCCCCTAATCCATATATAAAAGAGTACAATTTGAAAACAATATTTTTTATGGTAGCGGTAATGGTGACAATAATAATTTGGGGGAAAGAAATTTTAGTGGTGAAAAAAAAAATAGGAGGGATAAAATGGGTTAGGGGCACTGAGGTGGCAATCCATGTGGCATCCGCCTCATCAAATGCCAGTGCCACATAGGATTGAATGTCCACTTTGGACAAATTTAATGGAAAAAAAGGTATATTTGAACCAATAGTATAATGATAGGGATATATTTGGACTCAAAGTATAACGATAAGGCTATATTTGGACTCAAAGTATAACGATAAGGCTATATTTGAACTCAAAGTATAACGACAGGGCTATATTTGGACTCAAAGTATAACGAGGGGTATATTTAAACCTTTTGGGATAGGCCAAAGGTATATTTGGCCTTTTTCCGAATTATAAATATATACTCTCAAACTTAATAACTCTATCAATTTAATTTAAATAAAGTAGTAGATTGTCGTGTATGTAAAACGAGTCTAACATGAATTATAACAACTTCCAACTAATTGCGATTGAAAGTAATTGCATGATTCAATCGTCACAAGGAGTAATGAGTACTCAAAATACATTAACCCAAATTTTTGTGAAAAATTCAAGGGCAACTTATTTGGCCTCCTCCATTTAATTTGCACCCATTTTTCTAAAACTTTTAATTTGTACCTAATTTATGAAAATCTTAGACATTCTTTGCTTCTTGCTTCTTCTTCTCCTCTTTCTTCTTTATTCCATATTATGTCTGAAGTTCATTCAAAAATGTCTGAACTTCAGCTATATGTATGAAAATTGTATGAACTTCAATCCACCTAACAACTTCAGATAAAATTTTTACAATTTCAGACTCGTATATTGATGTTTTTCCAAAAATGATAAACTTGTAATTTTTTATATACTACGGATATGACTTCAACGGTGACTCAAAAATTGTGTATATATACACTTCCCCCTAAGTTTTTTGATCAATCTCTAGCTTAAATCAAATATTCAAAAAGAGAGACAAAAGGACATAATTCGTCCAAACATTATATTATTAGATTTAGATCTTTATACTGATATATTAATTTCTCAAATATCAAAACCAAAATGACCCCTGAATATATTAACCTAAATTCTTGGATAAATCTGTACCTTAAACCAAATAAAAAAAAATTCAATTCTATACATGCATTAACAATGTAAAAAAAAAATGTACAACTAAGTCACTTATAAATTAATTGTATGTAACTTTATTTAAATCAACTAATTTATAACCAAAATACATAGTAGGTAATATATACAATATGTTAAATAGTTAAATTACACTGCTAGTATAAAAAAGTTATTACATTTATCGATTTATATAATAAGTATTAGTGAAAGCAGCCATTAGTGACTGCATTAGGATATGCTATTTATATCGTATCCTCTTAAGTGTGACCCTTTCTCATATCCCGCATGAATACGGAATGACTTATGCACCAAAATAATTAAAAAAAAAAGAAACAGAGGGAAAAAGGAGAAGAAAGACCTTTGGGCAACTTGTATTTAGAGGTAACGTAAAGAAAGAAAGGGACAAAAACAAATCCAAGAAGAGAGCGTCTCAAGCGGTCAACAATTCCCAGCAATTAGCCGTCTGAATGCATACGCATGCATTGACTTCATATATTACGTACTGACAGCCCATTTTTTACCTCACTAGCCCCCACCTTCTCAAATATTGGTCTTTTCTTTGATTTTTCTTTTGGAACAAAATTACTAGTACTAAAAAAAAATCTAATCTTTTAGTACTTCTCTATAATTCCACAAGTACCTCAGCCGCCTTTATTTCAGGTTTGTTTCTCTTAGTACTTCAACTGCAGACTAATTAATCAGTTTTCTTGATCAGTGTTTATTTAATTTGGCTGTTCGGTAAAGTGGGTGGACAAAGTTAATTACTTACCATGTTTAGGTTTTTGAGGGTTTCTTGATCTGATTTGTCTATTTGGGTTGTTTGGTGAAGAGGGTATGTCAAAGTTTTAATGCCCATATTGTAAAGATTCAAGCTTTCTGTGAATTGGGTATTTGGGTTTTTGAGGTTTTATTGATCTGGTGAATTGGGTATGTGATTGAGTCTTCTTCTGTGCTATCTGTGTAGAAGAAGAATTATCTCTTGGAGTTAGCTGTCTTATTTCAGTTTTGATTTGGTAATACAAGAGAAATAGAGATTCCAATCTGAAACTTGGGGAAGTCTTGTTTTTTGAGGTCTAAGGCTTTCAATTTCTATTTGGCACAGCTGGATTGTTGTTGGAATTTTGATGGGTGTAGATTTTATTGAATCTGGATTTCCTGTTGATTAGCTGAAAAAGTCTGAAAGCATCTGGACTCTTAAGTTATTTTGGTTTTTGAGGTAGTTTCCACTGTAGTCCAATTGGAACTTAGAAAAAAAAGTTGACTTTCGCCACGTTGATTGCGGAGATTGATCCTGCCTGATCAATGCTTATCTGAATTCCTAAACTTGTTTCTCAGCTACTTTGCCAAAAGGGACTGGACTTCATGACTTGACCCGGAAAAGAGGCTTTTGTATTGTTGCTTGTGGTTGCTAAAGAATTTGCGATGGATCCGTTATATTTTGGTTTTATGAAATGGGGTGATTATGTCATTTTTTACTGAAAATGGCTGTAGTTGTGCTGTGTATACTATTGCTGGTGCAGTTCCCACTAATTTCTGCTTCTCCGCTGTTGGGACATGAAGAAGTTTGTGGAGTTTACCGTGTTGACTATTCAGATGATCTAAATCGCCAAGTATTTTATGTGAACGGCATGTTAGTGGATAAAATTTTATTCTGCGACACCCTCAAATTTGATCGTGCAGAACATTGCTTTATCCAAAATTTTGGGTTTCAATATTGTGGATTGGACTTATCAATTGGTATGCAGTCGTATATGCTACAATATTGTTTTCAAATGTCTTTCCAACAAATCCTTATGAGTTGTTCTTCATTAGAAACCATTTAATTCTATGTATTTTTCCTAATTGCTTCTATTGGATATCGCAGTTTATAATTTTCTATAGTGATATAGTAGAGTCCAAACCATGTTGCAGATGAGTTGCATTTCAAGTCGGGAAGAAAATTTCTACAAAAGGTGGTCAGACAAGGATCCAGCGAACACAGTTTTGATGATACAGCAGCACGGAAGCCTAAGGAAAAAAGTGCTGATAATTTTTCAGTAACCCCCCAAAAGTTGGTCATGGCGGTACCGGTATTTTTTATTCTTTGCTGCGGCTTAATTTGCCCTTGTTTTCGTGCGAGAAAGAAGGAAACGGATCAATCTGCTCTTGTAAAGGATCCTAATTCAAGTGAGTTAACCTTTTCAATGTTCAATATTCCATATTCAGTTTATAGCTGTTTTCATTCTTCTGAAGATAAGTTTACTTTAAGTACTGTCGGATGATAATTTCCATTGACATGAATTTTTTTCAATCTACTTATGATCAATTTTGGAATATCTGCTGGAGCCCTGATAAAGGCGGAGCTAGGGAGGCGGAAATGGGTTCATTTGAATTACACTATTTATACTATGTCCAAATTATCTTTTATGCATATATGGTATATGTTGAATCCCCTTGGCTTTTTCGTGTATTTATTTTTTTATATTTTGAATCCCCTTGGTGAAAATCCTTGTTCCGCTTGTTGGTTTTGGTGGTTGTTTATAAAGATATTGCATTACCTTTGCAGTGGACTCTGCTTCCTCCATGGAGATGAATTTTGTTCCTGAAAAGGCACCAGGCAGTCCGCTACGAGTGCCAGCTAGTCCACTTCGAGTGCCGCCTAGTCCCTCTAGATTTAGCATGTCTCCGAAACTCAATAGAATTGGCTCCATTCACCTCAACGTGAATCAGGCTCTCAGAGCTACCCAAAATTTCTCTCCGTCCCAAAAAATTGGAGAGGGAGGGTTTGGAACGGTATACAAAGCTCAACTACCGGATGGTCAAGTAGTTGCCATTAAACGTGCAAAGAAGGTAAGATAATGTCAACTGATCTTGAATCTGCAAATCTTTTATATGTCACGATAATTTGATGATTTATCAGAACAACAGTGAAAAAGGAAGCTATTCACTATATGTTGTAGTTGCATTAACTGATACAGCATGAAAAAGGCAAAATCAATTTCCTACTTCCCTTACACTGATTCTACAATTTGAGGGAATGAGTTAATAGAATTTGCTTGCCTTTTTAAGTTAAGTGATAAGTGAAAGCCTCTCAGCATATGAACTTCCCAATCAGGAAACCTCTCATATTCGTTTCCTTTCTGCAATTTACCTTCATAATTTTGAGGGTGTTTTCTATATAAAACTGCGCAAGTATAAATAAAACAATGATGAAGAGACTACCGGCGCATGCGTTTAAGGGAGTAGAAAAGACAGCTCTTTGTTTCTTGATGACCGAGAAATCCCTCCAGAGCCAACCCTTTTGGGCCAGCCACAGCCTTCGTAGCTCAGGAATGATGCCCCCCCCCCACCCCCCTTCCTCATTTAAATAGCTGAGTTAGTTCGCTTGGCGCAGGGCTCGAACCTTGACCTAAGACACAAGTTCCTCAACCTTTGCCAATTGAGTTAACCCTGGGGGCATAAGGACAGCTCTTTTCCACGGAAAGGAGAGTTGCTTAAGTAAACAGAATGTTGGACCATAATGCACCTTCTACAAATATTCTATAGATGATAATTACCAGTTTAGAAACCAGAAGTGGGACAATAATTCATGGTTTTACTAGGTTAAGTGCTATTTAGCATCTACCAGACTGCAAACATAAGATAGATTCTCTAATGTGAAGATCTTGTTGGTCACAAAATAATTCTTTCACAACAAAGGAGTTCATGATTTAGGTTTTATCTCGACTTTTATGCTTCCTCTCTTTTCTTATTCGACTTCCTTCCTCTATTTTAGGGAAAGAACTCACACATTTGATGTTATTTGTCGCTAGTTTTTATCTATGATTGTGTCCTTTGGTTGGACTAATATTATTGTAGAAGGCATAGCTTCTTAAATTCTGAACTAACCTAGTAATTGCTTTACCCTTTTTGAACTTTTTGTTTTGCGTGAAAGAGGAGGAAAGGCAGGAAAAAATAAGTTAAGACATGGAAAGAGAAAGATCTTGCACTAATCTTGAGTGAGAAAGAGTGAAGCACGTCAGTTGAAATCCAAAGGACCAGCGAATAATCCTAGCTTGTTCAGAAGAAAGATCTAAGTTGCAAAAGGAGAACAATAGATACACTGGGTTGTGACACATGTGCAAGTTAACTTAGGAACTGAGACATGAACTCTGATTTTTGGACAAAAGGAAGGAGATCGAATTGAGAGAAAAAGGGACTTACTATAAGTCTATAACCTGTCCAAAATGGTCATACAAACCAAAACCTTATCCGCGCAGCAAAGCATGCTGGCTGCTTCTCTACACTGTACTTTGCTTGCTCATGTTGAGAACGAATAGTTTATGGAATTACCTCGATGAGATGTTGAAAATTTGAGGTGTTAGAAGGGGGTTTTGAGAAAAATTTTCCTTCTCTTGCTCTCCGTTTTTTAATTTTGGAGTGGTTTGGGTTGGGCTGGTTTTTTTTTTTTTTAGGGGGGGGGGGGGGGGGGGGGGTAGGGGGGTACGGTGACCTTATTGGTGGAAGTGGAACGTTGTTGATACATGCACATATTCAACCTGGATGTGACATTATGAGCCGTTTGGACGACATTTGAAGTTGATGTTGAATTTGGAAAAACGTTTGTGAATAATGAAATCTAAGTAGTTGTAGTTTTTTGAAAAGATTTTTTTGGAAATTGAAGACTTGTAAGTGGACGTCGAAGATTTGAAACACTTCACTTGAAATACACTTCCAACCACAACTATTCAAACTTGACCTTGGAAATTTCTTTTTCCCAAATAAAAAATCAAATAAATACCAAATTCAAAAATATTATTTGCAAGTGAATTTAAAAAGTCAACAAACAAAAACCACGTAAATTCTAGTCGGGGTTACTCATTGTTGATAGGTTGGATTCTAGCTATCTTTTCATGTAGTTTATTTCTTGAACTCTGACGTGTAACCTCTTCTGTAGGAAAGAAAGATAGGCTTTTCTTTCTTGTTCCTTTTATTTTTAGCTATATATATGATTTTATCTGTGAGAGAAAAGAATTAAATCATTCTAATATCTGAACATTTTGCAGGAGCATTTTGATTCTTTGAGCAATGAATTTAGAAGTGAAGTTGAGCTTTTGGCAAAAATCGAGCACCGTAGCCTAGTTAGGCTTCTTGGTTATGTTGATAGGGGTAATGAACGCCTCATCATTACGGAGTATGTACCTAATGGTACACTAAGAGAACATCTAGATGGTATAGCATTTATAAACTTAGTGCACTGAATACAACCTTCCATTATGGTCAAAATGTGGAGAGCAATAATTTTAACTTTTGGCAGGTGGACGTGGGAAAATCTTAGATTTCAATCAGCGACTTGAAATTGCAATTGATATTGCTCATGGCCTAACTTACCTTCATCTATATGCTGGTATGTTACTCTCCATCGCTAGTTATTCTCTTTTCTTAGTTAGCGATGGTTTATCAATGCTTGAAACTCCTTTACGTGATCAATACACAAAGATGAAGAAAAGGGAAAAGATCAAATCTCCATCGGAATTTTAAGGCTAACTGTCGTTAGATATATTGACCTGGTAGATTCCTTTAGTCTAGATCTTGTTATTTCCTTAGCTTTTGAGCCATGTAAAATTTAGAGATGTATATTTTTAACCGCTCCCAAAAATAATAGCAGACAATTTTTTTTTTTTTTGGTATGTGTGTATATTATATACATACATATTTTATACACTTTTTGGCTAGCGAATGCAATTAGTTTTCACTGACCAACAAATTTTGTATTTTGCCCTATAATTTATGCGGCAACTCCTGTGTTGAGGTTCAAGTTTCCATTATCCATTCTTGTAAACCAGGATTCTACATTAGGATTAGAGTTGGTGATGTGTTAGTTTCAGTCCTTGGTCTATTTTGATCTGCCCCGTGATCATTTGGAATTGATGCATTCCTATTTTTGTTTGCCACAGAGAAGCAAATTATCCATAGAGATGTGAAGTCATCAAATATTCTCCTGACAGAGAGCATGCGTGCCAAAGTTGCGGATTTTGGATTTGCACGGCTTGGAGACTCAGACTCTGATAAAACACACGTTTCAACCAAAGTGAAAGGCACCGTTGGTTACCTTGACCCTGAGTACATGAAAACGTATCAACTCACGCCGAAAAGTGATGTCTACTCATTTGGGGTATTGTTATTAGAAGTTTTAACGGGTCGTCGTCCTGTGGAGCTTAAAAGACCTCCTGATCAGAGGGTGACACTTAGATGGGTAAGCTCTTTACTCATTTTTTCCTCTTAAATTTGGGTAAATCTTGGATTATTGGCTCTACCAATAGCAAGGGCGGAGCTAGAGCTTCTTTTACGGGTTCATCCGAACCCAGTAGCTTTGGTCCAAACCCTGTATTTGTCTTAAAATATTCATTAGTTATACATAAATCATTAATTTAGAACCTAGTAACTAGAATTCTGAACCCATAAGCTTCAAATCCTGGCTCCGCCTTTGAGTGCAATCGTCTCTGTTAAAAGTTACTCCCTCCGTTCCAATTTATGTGACCCTGTTTGACTGGGCACGGAGTTTAAGAAAAAATGAAGACTTTTAGAATATGCGGTCCTAAACAAGTTAAAAAGGGGTCCAGAGTATTTGTATGGTTATAAAAGCTTCTCATTAAGGGTAGAATTGTAAGTTTAAACTAAATTGTTTCCAAATTTAGAAAGGGGTCATTCTTTTTGGAACGGACCAAAAAGGAAATAGGTTCACATAAACTGGAACAGAGGGAGTAATAAATTGCAGGATTAGTGTTATTTCTGTTAGATGTGCTGATTGTGTTTAGTTGTCTGTTGCTTTCTCCAGTACTTAGATAACGAAAACATGTCGTTTTTCAAATAACAACAGTAACTAATCCATATATTAACTTATCGGGTACAAACATAATATGCATATGCAGGCTTTTAGGAAATACAATGAAGGATGCATGTTGGAAATGTTGGACCCTCAAATGAAGGAATCCGTGAGCGGGGAGATACTAGTAAAAATGTTTGGTTTGGCTATCCAGTGTGCAGCACCTACACGAAAAGATCGCCCCGATATGAAGATTGTTGGGGAGCAGCTTTGGGCAATTAGAATGGATTATTTGAGGAATGGAAGAAGACAGTAATAACTGCAAATATACTGTGACTATACCCAGTTTATTCCCTAGAAAGGATAGAGATTTGGAGATACTTACTCAATCTTCCACTTATTGTTTGTATATGTGAGCAGTTAAGGTACTTTTCTTGATATTGATTCACTGATTTCAGGTGTATTCAAAGTATACTGTATTTTGTACTTGTCAATCCCATTAGTCGTCTCGTCAATCTTCATCGAAGAGTGACAGAGTGAGTAACAGGAAAAGAGTTCCTTACTGACAGTAGTTCTATGGATTAATATTTTTTTTGATAGCCGAGAAATCCTTGAGGGCTAGTGGCACATAGTTCGAAACTCGGTAGATAATGGCCTCGTCCCTCTCTCATTCTCCACAAATTATCAAGCTTTTGTGGGAAAAAATAAAAAATTATCAGATTTACAACTGATAATTGAAAAATAAATACAGTTTCAAAAGTAGTTGAAATTTAGCCATTTTTCATGTAAAAATAAAATCTGAATAAACACACCGTTAAAAATTCGAAAAAAATTCATGCTGGAGTTTGAATTTTTTTACATATGAGATTTCAGCATAATGTGCTGGAATTTCATATTGTGCTAGAGTTCCAACATAATATGCTGGAAGTTTATATACAGGAGTTCCATAATCTAGCATATTATGCTAACTTTCTCTGTGTTGGAGTTCCAACATAATATGCTGGAAGTTTATACGCAGGAGCTTCATAATCCAACATATTATTCTGAAACTTTTCGTGTTTCAGTAAAATAATAGCTATTTTTCATTGACTTTGTGAACGCCGACTATTTTTCAATTACCAGTCCGAAAACTGGCTAGCCGGTGCTATTTTCATACTTTTGTCTGTGACAACATTTGATTCCATGCATCCGCTTAACTCACACATTAAGCGTTGCACTCTTACCATTAAACCAAAAGCCCTGGCTGCAAAGCATTTTCTGCATGTTTCTTGCTTCAAAGGTTAGCTACTTAATGGGGCTGAAACAGTGGATCTTTTGCTTAAAGCTTCCCTCAATCTTAAGAAGTACCTATTGGAATTTCATCAAGAGAAACTGAAAGACATGAATAGCCTAAAGAAATACTTCCTCCGTCCAAAATTAGCAGTCACTTTAGCTTAAAAAAATTATTCTAAAATAACTACCACTTCAGGAATTCAAGACTAAATTTGTTAATTGTTTACAATTGTACTATTAATATTAAAAAAAGCTAACTGACAGTTAAAATGAGTATTACATAGTTGGGGCTGCAATTACTTCCTCCGGTCCATTTTAAGTAATTTTTTGGACTTTTTTTGTCCAAAATATTTAATTTTTTCAGATATCAAGATCACACCACTTTAAGACAACTCCCTTACTTGTCTTATAAGAACTGATAAGTAATGCAGTCAATATCTTATAAGAACAAATACTACACTTGATCTTAACCAAAAGGGGAGTAATGGAGAAAATTTAGGACTAGAATTGGTGGGGTGCGCCAAGCCAAGGCAATAGTGCAACACCAAGGCGACACTTGAAGGCCCCAATAGCAAGCTATCGTGATGGACCTTCCCCCTTAAAAGATTGAGTTAATATCGTGTGAGTCGATGACCCACGTATCAGATATTAAACTGATAAGAACAGATACTACACTTGATCTTAGCCAAAAGGCCGAGAAAGGTATGCTTTTCAATGTTTTGCTCTTGCTCTTTTATATTCCATTCCTCACATAGGAGCTCTCCTGTCCAGTCAGTGTGGGACTAGAAGAGCTTTTATGCTTCTTTCAACTAACTATACATTAGAAATACCAGATTAATATTGTTTCAGTTGCATTTAATTGATGAGTGAAAATAACTAATGCAGTCAAGAAACATAAAGTTATTGTTTTTATTTATTAATTTATTTAATTTTATGAATCCATGTAATCTTAGCTCTGATTTAGTATATTATATGGAGCAAATACCAACCAGTAACACAATTTTACAGCAAGTATCTTGATAGTAGAGTTATTAAACATATATAATGCACCTACAAAAATCACAAACAAACTTTTTTTCTTGAAAGTAGTATACTTTGAAAGTTCGGGTCGCTTATTTAGTCTGTTGTGTCTTAATATAAGCATTACTCTTCTTTCTATGTCACATTGAAGTTTATTTTTATAAGGCCAAACATCGGCAGCCCCGTATAGTGTCCTCACTTTTTACTTAAACACCCTATTTTAAGTCTGTTTTATTTGAACATTCTAACCATATTTCAAATGTGTCACTTAAACACAATTTGATGATGTGGCATAATACGTGTATTACACTATTTTTCCGAGCGTGAGAAATCAGTATTTCTATTTTTTTATTTTTTTTACTTTCTTTTTCCTCCTATTCTTTGGCAAGCAGAACAAGAACGAGGTCGCTGGAGAAGTCAGAACTTCGGCCAGGTCCAAAGAGGCGACAAGCAACAGTAATATGTTATCAAGGTTTTAACATTTACACACCAACCACGAAATCAGTAATAGACCGAACACGAACGAATCTCCAATACCACAACGATGGAACACCAGAAATGGTGATAAATGTCGCGCTGATTTTAATGGTAGCCGCCGAAATATTAAATGTCCGGTCACTTCTTTTAGTTCTGCTCTTTTATCAGTTAAAACAACAACAAAATAGAATAATAGAGATGAAGGAGGAAAGGAAATGAGCAATGGCCGATGGTTGCTAGAATCGCCAGATTCTTTTTTGTTTCTTCCCTTTTTTCTCAACTCAGATTTTTTCTTCTCCCGTTAGCTAAAAGAAGGGATTTACAACCCAAAAAAGAAAGAAAAAAAATTGACATAAATTTCTCCCTTCCCCAGATCTGAAAATTCAAAAACGGTACCTGTGTTTTTTTGTTTTGGCAGATGCAGACGGAAGGAGGGGGGGTGGTACCTGTATTTTTTCGCATTGATTTTGTTCATTTGGACGGCTGGAACTCAATTTCCGGCTAACTGAAGCTCACCGGAGTTCTGCAGAATGTCGGAGCTGACGTTTTTAGTGGTGGGATGGTCTAAAATTTGTGAAAAGTTAGATCTGGAGGTAGAGAACAATCTTTATTAATTGGAATTTCTTGATTTGGCCCAGAATTGAGCTGGAAAGAAATGGCCAAAAATGATTTTTCTAGTGATGAGTGATAGTTGGGGAAGATGACAGCGAGTGAATCCACGCATACTCGTCTTATTTGTCACTCTGGCGTGTGAATTACACGCATTTTTTGTGTTTGGCTGCCTCCAAATTTTGTGTCTAAATGACATAGTAAAGATCTAGTTAAAGTGTTCAAATGAAACTGATTTAAGATAGAGTGTCTAAGTGAAAAGTGGAGACAACTTTTAGGGGGTGCCGATGTATTTGGCCTTTTTATAACAAACCATACATTCTAGTAAAAAATAAAGATGGTTTGGCACTCCAAGTCAGCTTTCTTTCATTCGGGCTTTCTTTCTTCTGTTTTTGCTTCGGTCTTTCTCTATTCTATGTTTGCGCGAGTCAATTATGTGTGGCGCAAGGGACGAAGGCGTCACTTACTTCAATATTGCAGGGTAACTTAGCTCTCGCTCTTGCAAATTGCCAATCCTCTAAAAGAACTTTAAAATTGTGTAAAAATATTCTATTATTTAATTGATTGTATTAGGCTTCTTAAGTATTAATGAAACAACATGTTTCTTCAATGTATTATCCTAATTTTTTTCTTCTTAATTGTTCCATTTAATGAGTCATAACAGGTAAAGAGAAAACGTAAAGACCAAAATAAAACTCCAGCAAAAGAAGAAATTGAGGACTAGAATTGGTGGGGTGCGCCAGGCCAAGGCAGCAGTGCAACACCAAGGCCACGCTTGAAGGCCCCGATAGCAAGCTATCATGATGAACCTTCCCCCTTAAAAAATTGAGTTAATATCGTGTGAGTCGATGACTCACATATCAATTATTAAACTGATAAGAACAGATACTACACTTGATCTTAGCCAAAAGGCCGAGAAAGGTATGCTTTTCCATGTTTCGCTTGGACCCTTTTATATCCAACTTTGCACATAGGAGCTTTGCTATATAGTCGATGTGGGACTAGAAGACCTTTTACAGATGCACCATGAGATAAGATTCTTGCTTAAATAGGCCAAAGGAGAGTGGAGACGAAAATTTTGAACAAAAAGAAGAGATATATTAAAATATTCTTCTTTTTTTAACCTCCTCCTTTCTTGGCAACAAATTGATTGGCCTTCTCCACTGCAAAACTGAGAAATCTAGAATAATTTGAGATCATCAGTTCGAGACTCTCTACTGTCTGATGCTGATTCATTAATCTCTGGTTTGTTCAGGCAATGACGAATATGTTTTGGTGCTACGAACTCAGTATGTTAGCACAGAACAAATATATATATATATATATATATATATATATATATATATATATATATATATATATATAAAA